CGGTCGTTTAGAGATGCAGAAGGTTTTTTGGGGGATTGAAAAAACCGGTGGGATTCCAATGGTCAAACATTTTGATGCGGTACTTTTGGGAAATAGTTTGATGCTCCATCCGGTGATATTTTAGATGGACATGGGAGCTTTATGGGATTTTATACGAGTCCTCGGGACAAATGATTGGGTGTATATAACATGGTTCCTCAGGTGGACACTAAATATTGTGTTCACCTCTTCACCATTGAAATATTGGATTTTGGCACGGGCCCCCGTCATCCAGGGAGAGGCGACATTCGAGACGATTGAGTGGGCGGACATTCTAGACTTGATTTTGTGTTATTATTTATAGAGAGGATGACAAGTTTTCTACCTGGAGAATAGTAAAAGCTATGGGGACCCGGTGAATAATCGTATCTGGATGCGGAAGCCATCAGGGTATGAGTGGGTGGACATCGCCATGGTGAAATGTCAATGATCAATGGATGGTACCGATCTGTTTTGGGGGGATATTGGGAGAGGAGTGCGTATCGATACCACTCGAAACATGGCACAGGTGACGCCAAGAGGCCACTAATCACCATCGGTTTCAGATTATTCTAGAATAATGATGGCGGGAGAGGGAAGAAGGATTGAATCGAAATGATAAATTGCGGGTGACACAGCGTGATGCTTCTGGCGACAGAGACGAAAGGCATTCGACCATATGTCGCTAATCCTTGAGACATCCATTTTGTCTTCCCATCGGGTGCGGGTAATGGCGCACGCGCACGCGCACTCCGTCATGTGACTAGTGAAAACTGTTATAACTATTAAAAAATATTTGTCAAGTATATTTCCTTTCACGTGCAATAAAATTAGAGGTCGGTGGTTTTTCGGTAAGAAATTTCCAGTGCAGGACCACTTGGAGTCCGATATCCCTAATATTCCGTATTCCCTCAATTTCTCCGACATCTCGAAACCGCAATGTGTGTATTGGAATCTCAGATTCCCACTCACTCGTTTGTTCTCACCAGACCGCAAATATTTGACCGAAATATTCGGGGACAAAAGACGAGCTCGCGAGCAAAAAGGGTTGGTCGATGCGAGAGTGTTTCCCTCTTTTATTTCTAAAACCCGAAAAGTGTTAGTTTGATATCCTTGGAACGTCCTGTTTGTCTCTCTTTGTTCATTTCAATGCGTTCGTTTATCTCAGGTGTCCGAGTGGGTTTTGGGATTTATTTTTTTATTTTTCACTGGGGACCCCTTGAAAGATCAAAAGAGACAGTATTTATGCGAGGACCACCTTCGTTACGCCATCCTCATGCCGCATAGCTCCTCTTCTGGGTATGTAGGCAACATCCAGGCATCAATGGGTGGCGAGAATCGCGTGAATGAACGCCTGAGACAAAGACCCTGCGAATCCAGGAATTCCACTCTCACGGTTTCGCAAGCGGAGTTATTGCCGCTTGTGGGGTGGGCCTTTTTCCATTTTACATCGTACTTTCTGTTTTAAAAAAGATCGTATTTTTACAACCTCTCGATCCTAATCACCAACTATTCCTTAAAAATGAATCGACAACCCGATAATGGACTATTTGATTATCTTTGTATTTTTTGTTCCAAAAAAAAACAAAAAAAAATCTATACAAATGGTGAAATAAAAATTAATTTTTCTCAGGGTAAATATTTTTTTTTCCTGCAGTTTTAAGAATGTTTTGTCGTCCATCGATGATCAGCGACTGGATAACGTGCTTTGAATTTTCAAAGGGCAGAGGGGATTGGGTCTATTGTTTTTCGAGATTGCAGGAAACCTTTCGAATGGTCAGCCTTGAATACTTATTTAGGGCCGTAATGTTGAGGGAAAGCTGTTTCTGCTAGACTCGTTTAACGCGATAAGATACCGGTGACATGACCCGGAGAACTCCAACAGCTCTCGTAACAGAGTGACAGTTTTGTACCTACTTGATTCCCCCAAGATACCAGCATTCAACGTCTCCACGAGGAATTGCATTCCATCCTCGTCTTCGAGATCTGAATACCGTGTACCCTGTGGGGCAGCTAGACTTCATATAATCACGATCGAACTTCACTTACAGGTAAATTCGTTTGATCCTACAAACCATTTTTTCTCCCTGAATTTTCTCTGAGATCTTTTGAGAAATTTCTGGCGAGGACTGTCCACCAAAATAATATATATTTTTTTTGATTGTCGTGCAGTGCAGTGGACAGATTTTTTTCTCTCGTGTGAGACCTCCCGTGACATTACCCGGCTTCACGATGACTCCCAGCATCCAACGATTGCTCGTGTAATTTAATTTAACTTACGAGCGGCGATAGCGACCCAGCCACAAATCAATTAGAGTAGCGGGGTCCCACTTGTCTTTTTATTTTTTTCTTTGTCCCTCTTTTCTTTCCTTCGATATATGGAGGAGGAGTTGTGGGGTGTGTGGAGGGGAAAAACTGGCGGCGTTAGCGATAGCCGGTGCGCGCTGTAAACATCTTTACTGCCCGATAAGTGTACACATATATCGTTGTTCCTATACATTCATCCCAACTTGACTCTGTTGCTTATCGTACCACCATTTTGTCCTCAAGATTATTCAACCGCATTGGGATTATTATTTTCGATTTCTCTCTTTTTGAAAATCACCGTTAATTCACAAGACACGAGTTATCAAATTGTTCCAGTGATTATCCAGAATTGACTGATAATCATTTTCTTTCCAATAGACCGATATTTTTCTCGAAAATGGTGATATCAATATCATCTTCACTGCATGACCCCAAAAAAAAAATGTGAAAATGAAATAGTGTTGGTAATGGGGCGTAAGTTAACGCGGGCCCTACCACGGGGGGGCCCCGAAAAAAGGGTACACAGTCGTCGCGAGTTTATCCCAGTGGATGACGATGCATCACACGTTTGGAAGCAGCGTTGTACATGTGGGGTATATTAGTCACTGAAAAATATTCCCTCCACGATGTATGCAATGGCAGCGGTTCCAAATTGAGTCCTCGCCATAAAATAAGCCATAAAAGGGGTGGTGGCATGAGGGGCAGAGGGCGTCCAAAGAGGAAGGGAAATGCGTCACGGGGCAGGGGGTGTACCCCGGTGCTTTCTTTTTCGGCTGTGGCAGTCGCGCGTGGACATTTAAATTTATGATAATGCCATCTCCCTGGTGGCCACAGGCCGGTTATCAATATTATTATATTTCTTACGTCTGTTGTAATATATAAAATGCGCGTAGGGCACCCGCTGATATTATTCAGTACGATGGAGCCCACAAACGGGGAAAACAACGGGAATTGAATAGGATAAACAGGTGGAGAGGGAGGAAAATAAGAGGATTACATAGAACGAGGGACTTCAATAAATATGAGACCTCTGTTGTCTTGACGCTGTTGCTTCTCCCTCCCGTTGAGTACATCTCAAAAAAATCTACAGATCCACGATGGACGGGTTATATAACCACATTTTCTCTTTCATATTTCTACCCCGACCCCCTTTCTCCCCATTTTTTTTTCTTGTGTCTTGCAAATGGGAAAAAAATACGGACGTACAACTATGCAACAAAAAGAGAATCCCGAGGAAGAGGTGAATGCGCCGTATGCACCTCTTAATCCCATCGTATATCACCGACGCGTTGGCTATCAATTTATAGGGAGTGAAACAGATTTTATGAATGCCCGAACAAGCGTGTAACCGAGGTAGAAACTCCCGTTTGCACCTCTTCATTCTCGTCACAATTTAATATAACGCGCATTCCCATCACCTCCCCTCGTTTCATTACTCTGGATTTATCATTTTATTTTCAATTTATCCGTTGTTGTTATTCACAACAATTTATCACATTAATTGTAACAGAGAGAAAATGTATAGCATTAATTCATTAAGATGAATTATTCGGTATTAAAATGATATAAAAATAAATAACTGGCAGATTCACTGATGCATTAATGCATCGCCGGGTGTTCCCATCTCCAGCCTCATATTTTCTCCAGCCAAATGATATAAAGCCGTTGTTATACAGGAGAGTCTTGTAAACTTCACTTGCTCTCGCATCTGCCCAGGCTCGAGGTTTCTGTGCATAGTTTATTATATATCTATATACGTGATAGTGTTGGGTATATGGGAGTGAAAGGAAACGAGAGAAGAGAGATATAGGGGATTGTGTAAGGGAGAGATGAAGAGGAGATGCGTTATGACTTTATAGCGCACCATACCTCAGAATTTTTTTAAATTTTTATCCCCTCAACACTCAAACGATCTATCCCCTTTTGTTTCAAGGGGAGATTGTTCCCTGGCCTCTGGCGCATTTTTTTTTTTTTTCATTTTCTTCTCCTGTTGCCCAATTTATAGTTGTTAGAGCTTTAGGATCGGCAATATAATTCGTGCGTACGTGCTAGGTTCGTTAAAAATACGAGAAATTCAACAGCAGTACCGTATAAACCCGAGGCAAGTATATGCCAAGTTGTCGTACCATGTAGGAGGCTCACGAAGTCGTGGTAAAACCTCAGGGTATTCACAATGTGAGACTACAGGACCATCTAATCTATAAAGATGCCGCAATTGATTTTAATGCCTTGCATAAAACAACACCGAGGAGTTGTAAAGCTTTCCCAACTCCAACTTCTTCCTCTGTACTTGGTTACCTGGCCACATGTGTTTTCAGAGAGGCTCATATTGCACCCACAATGTTTCCTCAAATGTCCTCCTCCATGTTGGAAAAAGCCCCTCTTCCCCTCATTTGTCATCCCCACCCCTCACCTTTGGCCCCGCTCCTCCTCGTGGTCCAATAAAATTCATTGAGCATCCATTGTTCCTTATTTATTGCATATTGTTCTCCGTCTTGACATGGCTTGTCCTTCACCGATTTAGAATCGAGGACCTATTGATTTATTGGTTGGTGATTATGTAAATAATGGCGATGAACACGTGAGTAGTCTTGGTGGTTTTGTTTTTTTGTTTTTTAATATAATATCAATTTATAATCGTAGTAGATAATAATATAATGTTGTAATGTCGATAATAATAGAATTTTTATTTGTATATTTATATTTTTATCTATATTCACATTGAAAATTATTTACAGTGGCTTTTTTAAACAGGTTCTTATCAAGTTTTTGCCTTTTTCTTCGTTTAATTTACAATCGTACGAACAACCGAGCAAAGACTCTTGCAACGCTGTACCTTAGACCCGTCCTAATTAGTTTAATATTCACAAATGATTTTTTTTTTTGTTTATTATTTTTGAGTTTGAATTTGGAGGGCTATCCAGTTCTAGTCTAGGCTAATGTGGTCTTTTCTCCATGCCGCCCACGCGTATGCGTTTTTATTTTCATCCTAATTATATACAAAATGATATTCAACTAATTCGGTTTATGTAATGATAATTTATGCGTACATTGGGTCAATACGAGTGAACGAATGCACCAGCACCTAAACCACTATCTCTTCCACTTTTTTTTCTCTCCATCGTTTATCACAGATACAAATAAATCAACTTTATCGTCATACTCTTTTAGCCCTCCCCATTTTCTTTTTTATAAAAAGCAATAATTTACACTCTTCAGGCTTGATATCATCTCCAAATCACAAGACTGATACACCATAATTACTCATTAATTTACAAACACCCGAAAAATACGTCCCATAATAAAATACCAACAAGATTTAAAGGAGAAAATAATAAAAAAAAAGAAAAAAAAACATCGATAAAATTGAGAAAATAAGCGAAGAGTACAGAATCATTTAATCATATTCATCTCCATACTCTTTTAAATATGATTCAGCACAAAACTAATCGATAAACGTCCTCGAGTCTGCGTGAACACGACGCAGGGCGCCAATGCCTGATCAATATAAATTTACCCCTTAATCCCTCATCCCAGCCTTATTATTCAAATTCATATTTTTTTCAATTTCTACCGTGGCCTCTTTTAATTCCCATACGGCTCACACGGCCATTCGTAATCACTGGCACGTATATTTACTCCATATTAATATATGCATAGCGTGTCCAGAGAGGTGCGGGGGAAAAACCACGTGGGCGGCGACGCGCCATGATAACCCTCGGAGTACATGCCTTAAGCTACTACGGGGCTAGAATACGTTTAATTTAATATCGCATTTCTCTCCTCACTCACGCGTGATAAACAATTAATCAAAATGTGACGTTAATTTTTCCCCATCCCATAACCTCCTGGCGATTAATAACGACATATCAACTCTAAGTGTCCATTTTTCTGTCTAACTGTGACTGTCCTGCATGTGGATTTTTTATGAATTTTCCAGCTGTTCTAATTAATCCTCTAACAAGTAGAATAGGGTTAAGGTAAAGCGATAGCTGCCGCGGTCGTAAGGTACGATTCCAACTCTCTTTATTAAGTATCTATACACAGTGAAGTATCTTCAATTAAAATTAATATTTATATAATCCTTGCGACCGCCCAGCGATTGGAAACCAAGTTCTCGTCGCGGGTGCTATTTGCACTTTGCCCGACAATAAATCTCCTTTTTTTTTTCGTAAACCCCTCTCACCCCTCTCGTCCATCTCACCAATCCACTCCTCTCTTTAATTTTCCATCATCGAATTCCTCTTCTTGTGCTCGTGTGCTGGGTGTACGTTGCAACAACCCCTCGAGGAATAGCTCTTGCTTGTTACGTCGTTTGAAAATGCACTGCAGCACCTTCACCACTGGCACGTATCCATAAGACGCTCTGCACTTAGTTTTTCTGGATTTCATGTCCCCTCCTTCTAATCCCCTTCTCGTTCTAATCCCTCTTCAGCCTTTCGCCTCCACCGTGGAAGTCTCACTGGATGTTCAGCATCCAACAGCATCCAACAGCATCCAACAGCTACCAAACGATTTATGGTGCCTCAGAGGTCGTGATACTCTTCCCTTCATCTCACACCACAATCTATCACCGTTTTTCCTCTTATCATTTTTTTTTTCCTCATCAACAGTTTTATTCAGTCTCCCCTTGTACTCCTTATTCCAATGACTCTTTTCTCCTGGATATTTTATTACAGCGATTTATGGGACACGGGTTGGACTATTGATCGGTAATATCCATGTGTTGATATCTCAAAATATTCTGTAACAGATTAAAAAAATAGCATTCAAATTAGTCGTGGAATTAAATATATTCTCGTTATCACAAATATTACAAATGTTGTGAGGATAAATAACGGATAAACTTGGACATTTGTTATTTCCCTTGATCATGCAAACGAGAGTCCAAACGAATTATCGAGAGTCAGGTTTGAGTTGAACAGAGCGGTGGAGCAAGTGATTAATATTCAGTATCGAGAGGTAAGATCGTGAGTGTCACGCGCGCGCGTCTCGATTTGCAATTACGGCAGTTCGTGGATATAAAATCCCTTACACCCTCTCTTGTGGTTGATTTTTAAGAGGGAGACCAGGTAAGACCGGTTTTTCAGCTGAAAGGCCAACGATGGTTAACTTTGTCGCCCCGACAACGCCCGATCCAAACGTTTGTAAGATGTAACTGCTTGTTACTAGAGCACTTACGCGTCCGGATGCCAGGATAGGCGGTCGTCGAGATATGTTTACGCAGTCCCTCTTCAAGTAATTACCATATTCCGAGGGACACGATGCCTGATAACCTGAGGGTAATCATTTCAGATTTCGAATTAGAGAGGGGGGGATTGTAATGCTATTAACCACCATGATTACTTGTTTTTAATCTACGATGAGAAAAGTTCACGGAAATTACCATAAAAGATCTGGAGACAAGTCATTCTGTCAAATTTAAAAAAAATTGTTGAACCGTTATGAATTTTTTATTATATATATTTCATGAGTAAAAGCTACTGTTTCCTGGTAGTTTCGTAGTTACGTAATCGTAATTGTAGTAATGTGTAGTAATTTTTCCGAATTTGCCGTTCGCTCTACCTTTACGTTTGAACCAGAAATTTTTACCGAAGATCTTCCGGTATTTTTCTCTCCGCGTAGAAGAATAATTCTCTAACGAAAATATTTGGAGAGGAGATCGACTCGGACGCGGAGAAATATCATACCCATTTCGCCATGTCTATTACAGGGCCTCCGGTAGATCGGGCTGTGGGTCTGGCAATGAATGCCCGTCGCCTCGGGGAGATCCGAGACTGCGAACAGGAGAGATGGGGTCGTATCGGTTTACCCGTGGTGACGTCCCGACGCCTTCGCTGTCGCTTTAATATTCATAGATCAGGCTATAGCTGCGTCTTCAGCGTCGCTATTATTATATACATTTTTCCGAACAACAGTAAAAAAAAAACTGTCAAAAAATCTCGTGTAATGGACGCTCATAAATTCCGCGCTGTTGCTCTGTTTTTTTTACGGACTCATTTGGCTTTTTTTTTACTATCCAGAATTAACGAGAATCCATCCATCACCGCGGACCGCCTCTCAGTCAAATGCCACCCTCGTTCCGCTCGTACCACTGAAAATCCCGTTGATTTCAACATGACAATCGAAATGCCACGGGAATTATCCCCAAGTGCACCCATCGTCGATCGATCTTGCGAGACTATTGCGTGTGTGTTTTGTACGTGGTGTAACTACACAGTCTCAATTGACATATTTCCCCACAGCGTTTTGCATAATGCGAGTAATCGATACTTGTGTATCTTTAATCTCGTCTCCTTTCTCCGATGATTGGCATTACACTCGAATTTCAAGCCGCGCGATCAGCGCAGATATCGCAGGTCAAATTCTTCAACCCGTGTGTCACGCGATCACGAGTTATCAATATTCATAATAAATTGATGAAAATACCTCAACCTGTTATCTCGCGGTGGAGAGGTTTGCTGGCCTCGAATTCATAGTAGAGAACTCTGTCCATATTATTCAGGTGAAAAAAAAAAAAAAAAACGGGTCCGCCACTTGTTGCGCGGCGAATCGTGTAATTCGTTGACGCGCCGTGTTCATCGAACCGTTAGCAAGGTAGACCTCGGCGTTCGATCGCAAAGGACCAAAAGTCGAGGGATAAAAAAAATCTTTTGCCAAAAACTTTTAGGAGAGAATAAACGAGCAAATGAAGTGAGACTAAAAATAGTGCGAGAGGAATCGAGGGAGAGCGGAGAATTCAGGTATTCCTCTTCCCGAGATTTTTCACGGTATCCGTGGGACAGAGGTGGTGTACACACGTTGTGTATCACCATACCGAGGATCCCAGGCTCCATCGCACGGTAGGATTTATTGAGGGGACAGCCATCTGCTGAGAAATCCCAGGACGACCGTTAACCGATGTTGAGGTGCTAGTGAAGATGGCCAAGACACTAGGTGGAAGTTGGCCAAATTTTATGCAGATGCTTGACGACGAGTCCCATAAATATCGCTGCACCAACAATCCTGGATATCCAGACCGTCCGATAGGTCCAGATGTTTGCGAGAAGTTGGGACTCATCATTCAGCACCACCCAGTCTAAATAGCAATTAAATAGCCACCCGCTAATTGGCAATTACAAGGGTGTTGGATGCAGTTTTTCAGGGCTATCTGGTAGCATTTTGGGATGACCAGGCAGCGGAGTTCTTCCCCCCCTTGTCCGCTGTTTGGTGGATGGTGCCCAAAAGTCTCTCATATGTGCCAGAGTTGCTAAGTGGCATTATAATAAGCGAACCGTGAGGCTGAGCCCAGGCAAAAGGCTTGTGATGCCCCTGAGATGAGAGAAAGAGAAAAAAAAAAGGGTGTGAGACTGAGCGGAGGCCTCTACACACTGATCGTTTGAGAGCCGAGGTGACGACAGCGAAAACTAGTTTATTTGGGACGTGGCTATAAATTAGGATCAGATCGCCACCAGATAAGGGCATCCCGCTAACACCCGGCCTCCGAAAGAACGTCTCGACGAGGTGGTGACCACTTCTCCGCTACTCCCTTTTTCTCCTGGCCTTTATTCTTCCTTCTGACCTCACTCCTTCTAGCTAAGTAAACAGTTCCCAAACGCTCTGGGCGTTATTTTCGTTGGAGATAACGCTCAACCATTCGTTTCGATCGTTTTATTTCCCGCATGGTCATTGAATTATTATTATTTATTATTTTTTTTTTTTCGGGTGAAAACGAGAGGGAGAGAGATCGAGACTGTTATGAGACAGCAGTAAACAGTGGGAACTAGCACTTGCTTTTGATTTATGCTGCACTTTGGGTTTATACTCTGGGCCTCTACACCGTGGGTGTGACAGGGATCCAATGAGTTTCTTGACACTAAATGCGACAGCTCGGGGTGTGCCCGAGTCACCAGTGAGGTTACTAGGAGATCTTTCCTAGAGAAATTCACTGCCTCGGGAAACAGCTACGCGGAGAGAGTCCAGTGATTCCATTCACTGATCAAAATCTCGGTTCATTTGTCACTGTCACTGAGGTGGCGATAGCACTCTCAGCTCTTCGATATGTTGGAGAGAGATGCTGCCTTTGGCCACACGCTACTCAATATCAAACCCGTTTTTTTCATCATTATTATTCTCATGATGAGTTAGAACCATCGACCATTTTCAACTGACAATTCCACAATCCTCCGTGGATATTAATGTTTTATTATCAATTGTCCGAGTGAAAAGGTGTGTCTAGGGATTTTATTTTCGGGCAGAGAGCATGATTTTAATCTTGCATAATGGAATCTTGTATTCGATCTATTACTGTCATTGTTTCTTATCTGCCTGAGAGAAATTGTTGAATTCTAGTTGAGTTGTTGTTTTGTCGAGTTGAATCGTTAGTTATGATTGGTGACATTAATTTATGAGTTTGGCGCGTGCACGGGTTATGAATCAAATCCGGCTAATTTGTATCGAGTAAAAAGTAAATTGGTATTTTGCATTTAATAGTCGGAGCCGTCAGTGATTATGCCAGGTTGAGTCGTATAAATATGGGGTATTTGATAACTTTGCGATAAACTCACCTGAATAACGACGAATGGTGATAGCGAACTGGAGATTCATGGAGTGCTGTCTAAACGGGCGATACGAAACCACTGGCCATAGACTGGGATCTGTAATTAATGAGGGATAATGAAAGGGTTCAACCGTTGAATTATTTATTGACACTTACCCTTTGTAGAAGGGCTTGAACGCGGTGGTGGCCTCGGTGGGAGGAAGACTGGCGGTTGTTTGCTGATGAAGAACGGATGTCTGATTGCCAGAGGTGAAGTCCTTGTGTGGTGAGCTCTGGAGGCGAGCACCGAATGATGATGCACTGCTGGCTGATCCAGAGCTCGATGATAAGTAGCCACTGCTTGCAGCCAATCCACCAGAATAATGACTGTTTGTTCCATTGCTACTGGCTGTGGTGCTGCCACCAGGGCAATAAGCTCCCGGTGGACCCTGGATCACGCCGTTCGGTGTTGTCACCTTCATATTGGGTGGTGTTTGGGGTGGCGTGTCCGTGCCAACCTCGGGAAACCCCGCAGCTGCCGATGATGATGCACTTGATGTCGAGCCCGATGATGAATTTGGATTGTAGTGGAGTTGACCACCCGATGACGAACTCAGAAAGCCACCGTATCTCGTTACGGCGTTTGAGTATGGCGCTGTTGCTGCTGATGATGGGCTCATCGAGGCAGCAGAGGGTAGGGCGAAATTACCGAGACCACCGCCACCACCGGTGCCCAACCACGGTTGCTGTGAGTGTTGATGATGCGACTGGCTCGACAGGTGATGCTGTCCTGTCTGCTGCGGATGACCCTGGGACTGATGGCCGTAGTGCTGCTGGTGATTGAGGTACGCCTGGTGATGGGGATGGGATGGTGGTGGTGGTGTTTTACAAGCAGCCGTATCAGCGAGAGACCAGATTTTGGGCTTTGTCGCTGGTATTGGTACACCACCTGCTTGACAATCAGTCTTCACCACCTCGTCCTTGAGATGATCCTCATTTATGTAGCCCTGATGGTGGTGGCTGTGGTGATGCTGTGGCATATGGTGAAACGACATCTCTCGGCTCCTTGGATCATCCTCAAGATCCAGATCGTCATCATCCTCAAGATCCTTGTCGTGCTGCATGTGCTCAGCCTTCACATGCCTCATGGGTTCTAAATTCAATAATGAAAAAAAAAAGGAAAAACATCAAGTGACGCGTGTCATAGAGGGCTTTAACATGTATCGACACAACGATCGACTTGTCGACCCCCTCTTGAAAATCTCGAGATACACTCTGTACACAGTATATTGAGACAGGGGGGAAACGATAAGCCAAAATCCCCAGGCTCGTTAATTATTGGATATGAGGGTGGAGGGTTTGGGGTAGTGCCTCGTGAAGCTACCGCGTGGCAATATTGCCGTTAATGGTTTATAGTCCCTGGTGTGAAAGCGAGAGGCGCGTATGCGTGTCATTGGAGGGTAAAGCAATGGTGATGCTGGAAGCGTCAAAAAGAGCAGTATGCCCTGAAGGAGTGGGAAAAAAATGTACTTGGTAGACGAAGAGGGTGGACAAGTGTGAGTGGAAAAATAGGGAGGTGAGTGGGAGAGATGGTTTCTCTTGCCCTCGTAGAGTTAAGCCGTAAGGGATGCTGTGAAAAAAAGGGGGAGCGAAGCCTGCAACCACTTTGGGGAGCGCGAGAGATTTCGCATCCCCTCGGGATGGTGGATCTTTTTCTCTCCCTTTCTCTCCCTTTCTCTCCCTTTCTCTCCCTTTCTCTCCCTCTTTTAGTGTTTTTTGCAGCTTCTTTTATATCCCTTGGCGCCCCTTGCACTCTGAAAAAGAGCCGTCCCGTCCGTCTGGCAGGGCGTCCAGCCAGCTAGTCAGTCAGGGGTGAGAATTTCATTAAGAGCTTCGAATGAGTTAGCAGAGGGGGTTTAGTTGATGGCTCGTCAAGCGATAATTCCCCAAAGCGCATACTCACTGTGGCCAAGTTATCAACTGTCTCTGTTACTCACCACTATCGCTCAATAAAGTGCGTAGAAGAGAGACGATTGGCCAAAGAGTTTTGTGGGCTCTTTCATCGAGGGGTAGATTTCAAACTCCCAGACCCTTATAAAAGGGAACCTTATGGCCCAACTAAACAGATACTCCCAGAGTCCACAAGTGGCTCTTTAACTTTTGACCCCACCCACTTTATCACCGATTAATCGCACAATTTATACCAATTAAATCTTATAATCTCGTATGAAATTTCAATAACCCAAAAAATTAATAGATCATTTATCATAACCAGTACGAAATGATAACGAAATGACGAAGAGAAAATCGATATTACTGAGGGGTAAAAAAAAAATGGTAATAATGAGAATGTGCGGTGCATTGCGGTAATGGTTTGGCATTGAGAGTGAACCTCCTTCTCCCTTCAGCCATTCGTCTCACCGCGGGTGCCGATATATCACTGGTGAAACCAGTGTAGCCAAAGTATCTATAGACAATGCATAACCCACAGAGTATGAACTCTCCCGTTTGACTGTATAGTTGTACGTGGTGGATACTCCAGGGCCCAACGGCCGCACCCTCTCACATTCCCCTGGACGTGTCTCATGTTATAGCCCACCACACTACCTCCAGTTGCCCAGGATGACCAACGGAAGTGAGTTGCTGGGTAAGGGGGAGTACGGGGTGTATATAAACCGAGAGAGGGAGTGGAAACGCAAAGGGGTTAGAAGCAAACCCAAAGGCCATTAATCTCTTCGCGCGGCAACCCGCAACCCGTCACTGTGTTTACCCACATGTGAACCATTATGTCCGCCTCTGCGATACACCCGAGAACTAAAGGACCTAGCTGTCCTCCACTGGAGACCCCAAATTCATTGCAAATTTGGAATTTCCGTGTGGGAGACGGAGATTGGACTGTGGCTTTCCAACTTTGGACTTTCCAGCACTGAAAATTGGCTCATCTTTTTTTTTCCACCATTAGCGGCTTCACGTATACATTTGAATTGTACCCTGGGGGAGTTTAATTAACTTACCATTATCCTCCAAACTTCGTCGTGCATCGTCACCAACTCTGTCGACTCGATTGTCACTGCTCATGTCGTCCTTGTCCTTGTTGTCTTCTGAATCAGATAGAACAGCGTCATCGTCGTCGTCGGTTTTATTCTTCGGCTCCCACGTCATTTTATTCTCCTTCTTGAGTCTTCTTCTTGCATTTGCAAACCACGTTGATACTTGGGTCAGTGTCATTTTTGTTATTATAGCGAGCATTATTTTTTCACCCTTTGTTGGATACGGATTCTTCTTGTGCTCGTTTAACCAGGCTTTTAGGGTCGCCGTTGATTCTCTCGTTGCGTTCTTTCGACGAGCTGCCAGGTCGTAACCAGCCCCATAACTGGAAAGGACAACCGGAATATTTTATTTAAATGTTTTAACACATAAATTGTTCATTCTTTTTTTTATCGTACTTTTTTTTATTACAGTGTTAAATAGAAACTTGTCAACGGTGTCTCGTTTGTCTTCCAAACCCCTCATTACGCCAACCGGTTTTCAATATACTGATTATCGGTGGTTAAACTTTACCTTTTGTCGGATAATTTTTGTTAACAATGTAATTGACATGTTCTCCACAGCCGAAAATACGATAAACCGGTTGATTATTTATGCGATATTTTTATGAGAAAGGAATAAATGGGAGAGGCGAATAAATCGGTTGAAGGTTCGATTAATTGGCAAAAATAATTTTTTAAACAATCGATAAAAAATATCTATAATCGGTGTCGACTTAAAATTTTATTCAATAATAATATTACCCCTGAAACCATTAGGTAACCGTGCGCACAGTCACTTTTCCGGGATGATTTATTCCCATCTGTTTTGGCGGCCCTTCCGACTCTCATGGATTCTTCACCGTACGATTCCCCAAGGATTTGGAAAAGTCTGGGGACTCGTGTAGTCTCTAACCTCTCACTTGCACCCCCAGATACTCGCAATGTATCGAAATACGCCCTGTTCTACAGCCCTTGGAGATGCGACATCCTCCTATAAGAGGGGAATACAGAGGGTGATACACCGGCAAATATATACGACGAATAAAACACCCTGCGGTGCTGTGGTGGTATAGAGCCGTGATTCCATCGAGGCTGGCACTCACTCTCGTCGTAATGGCGATTCGATCGATTCCCCACCCTCTCCCTTCAAACCCTCAACCCTCACTCTATTATACCTAACGTTGTATATACTCTCCAGTGAAGGCTAGTGCAAGCTAAAATACCCATCCAAGATTTTGTAGGGTCGCTCGAGTAGCCTCATGAGGGTGCAACGACCCACACTGTCAACTATAGAATTACCTCTCTCCCTAATTCAATTTTTTCTCTTCTTTTCCTCCCTCCATTTTAACCAATTGCGCGGAATAATTGAAATCATAAAACTATGTCTCATTTTATTGGGCTTTCCAGAGTTATTCATGAGGGCTCATCCTATTTTCTGTAAAGAGATATTTTTTGCTCGAGATGCCCCAGAACTGCCACTACCTGGACATGAAGAGCCGCATCTACTCGAGGCTTTATTACAATTAATTAAAGCCAGAGCGTTTTATTTATTTTATCATTATGAAAATTATCGGATTATTCAGTTTGAGAATTTTAATTCGAAAACTTATGATTACAAATTTCTCTCAAACATCTGTCGCACCTCTGTTAGACGATAAAAACTTGAGAGGTACCGAGAGAAATATTCATGGAGGGTGATAAAAAAACGAGAAAACTCGGGTATAAAAAAAAAATTGAAGAGGGTAAATCAAATAGCCGAGTCGACGATTAGTTTGCCACTTCCGTCCCGCAAACAGAGGAATTACTGGTGCCCCTTCCAGAGAGTGGCGCTTGTCCGAGAGATTGCTTGATGACTTGGCCAGGACGGAAAAAAAAGAAACCAGTGAAAAAAAAAAGCCAACAGGAGTGGAATTGTCTGGGCTCCACAACCCGTGGACGGAAAAGCACGAGAAAACTCGACAAGGGGGAGGCGAAAGAAAGTGGGAGGCGGTTTTCACCCTCTATTAAACTCCCTCCCCAGACAAGGGAAAGGCGGCCGCGTCGGAGCTTCTGTTCCTTTCCAATAAAACCGCGCGAGTTTCCTCTCTGGAGGAGAAAAAAAATTGTGGGAAAGAAGACGCTGAAGAAAGAGGCATGAAATGCGCGTCAGAAGATCGATTGACGCCATTGTGTGTATTTTACCGAAGGACCTGGAGAAATGTTTTTTCAGAAATTCGACGAGTTCGTCATGACAAGGAAAATCACCTCATGATCTCATGCCATTGACAAAACTCAATTCATTATAAACCCAAAACCCCCGCAAGCTGAATAAAAAAACAACAATAAAAACAGCTAATCCATTGAATTTTAATTTCAATTTAAATCCGTTGATCATCTACAAGTCCACATATCTCCCCAAGTGTCATTATATCTCCACCCACGGCTTCTATTTGCATAACAAGAGGCATTGCGTGCCAGAGAGAAGAATCGTTGGACTGCATCGTCACGATTGTTCCATCTGCATGTATATCACATCAATTAATATTATTTTTTCATGTAGAAACACGGAAAACCAGCCTGTACCCTCAACCCCCCGCTCGTCCATCCATTCTAAATACTATTTTATGCTAAAATTTCCAGTTCAACCTGTGCAACTGCAGCATCAAGAGGTGATTTTCGCCCCTCGGCATAAAATTTCCCATCGACATAACCAGCAAAACATTATCGACCGTCCAGCTCTTAAACAAAAGTTAACCGCTCTGAATTTAGCCCCCGAGGGTATTTTCAATATCGCCAGTACTCACATCCAAACCAAAAAGCGATTCTAGAGAGAAGGGTCATGATTCCGTGAGTGCAAAATCGAATGAAACGGCTCCCGTTTTGCAGAAAAGGTCGTCGAGGGAAAAAAAAAATTAACTGGGATACAGAACGATTCGCTGCACTGGGGTACAAGGTAGCGAGGTTCTCTCATTTTGTTGAATGCAAAAAATTCCCGTTCCAGAGATGACTGGATACGTTGGATGGGCAATAACGATGCTCTGGAACATGAGAGTGAAGAGGATGAAGAGAAGGGTAATACTAGGATGGTGAGAGGATCGACCACTCGAGCCGACTCATTAGGGGCTTTGCATATGGTGGCGTCAACCTCGAAAGGTTAACCAATATTGGCAGAACCCGCGTAATTACAATCTCCCCATGAAGGCATTCAAAAGCTACGACCAGCAAGCCCCCTGGTATCAGCATCGTACCGACAATCATTTATTCAAATTCAGATTGAATATCCCCAGGGGATACTGAGCTCAAGCAATCCTTTGAGGAATTTTATCTATCCTCAAAAAACTTGAGAGCGAGCCGAAAATAGGGTGAGCTTGAAAAAAGACCTGGGGGGTGACGGGTGGACCATCAGAAAAGTGAAAACAAGTTGGAAAAAGTGAAGAAAATAAAAAAGAGCCCTCGCTCCCACACCCACGAAATACAGCCCGATAGCCTCGAGGCAACAGTGAAGGGGTTTTCACTGTTATTGTCCCCTCAATACAATAAAATTGAAATAACTAAACTGTATGAAACATACGGCCTTGAATGAAGTAAAAATTTAGCCTGGAGGATGGTCACTGAAGTGGTAGATACCGGGGCTTTGGTAAAACTTTTGTGATTCAGACGTGAAACAATGGTGGTAGCAGGAGTTGAACGAGTTGTCCCTCTCTGGTCTGTTGGTGTGGCTGAGTATCACAAAGAGAAGGCCAAAAGCAAAAGTGGTGAGTGCTAGAGAGGCTGGATGAGGTGAATGGATGAAGTGGAGGAAGGCCTCGCACTCCACGCGGGGTATTATTAAGCAAGTAAATTAATAGTGGCTCGCACCAGAGAACGGGCTGAGTCTCTTCTTGGTTGTGTTGGATGAGGGACGAGGGGTGAATTTCAACGATAAACAATGGACTTTGTGTCTGTGTTGTTGTAGGACAGAGGGAGAAAGATGGTGGTAGTCCTATCAAACGTATCCTCAACGTATCCCCAACGTATCCCCAATGTATCCCCAACGTATCCCTAACGTATCCCCACATATACGCGTATATTTTTGGGCTATGAAGGAGGTGGAGGAGGTGGAGGAGGTGGAGGAGGTGGAGGAGATGGAGGAGGTGGAAGAGGTGGAAGAGGTGGAGGAGGTGGAGGAGATGGAGGAGGTGGAAGAGGTGGAGGAGGTGGAAGAGGTGGAAGAGGTGGAAGAGGTGGAAGAGGTGGAGGAGGTGGAAGAGGTGGAGGATGAGGAAACCGGAGTGGTGAACACACGAGGGGTTGGCAAGCAAGTAGAGCACCTGTGGGAGCTGGCAGCTTGGAAGTGTGTGGATGGTGACTCTCCACTGGCGGTGGATTGTAGATGAAGGTGAATAGAGGTGGATAGAGGGAGACAGAAAAGCAGAGAGTAGAGAGTAGCGAACCCCGGGGAGGAAGCCAATCAATAAACTCACTCGACTCGCACTCACTTGATATACCCCCAGGCAGCATAGCCCAACTGGCGTTAGTCAGAGTGAGTGAGGTTATAGTGAGGGAATAGAGACCCCCCTTGTGCCACCATTACGTACGCCCACCGACGACTACCAGCCATTTTGTATGTACTCGGGTACTGCACCGGTGTCATTTCAACCAGTTGTCGACCTCCTCTTGTATATGAGCAAGGACAAAGACCCAAGTGGAATCATTTTGCCAGATAAAAAAGAAGGGGAATCTTTGATTCGGGGAATTCAATGGGCTCTTCCTCGGATTCCACTTCAGATCTCTTCGTATCTTGGTTTCCTTTCTTTTTTTTTCTCACTCGGGGATATATAGGTATAGTGGTGGGAAAACACCTCGTGGGTGTGGGGTTTTGCCTCTCCAAGCGAGACATGGAGAATCTCGTTACGAGGGCTCCCTTGGAAATCCCCACTTTAGTCACTCTCGAGAGGGAACCAGCCGACCTTTTTTTTTTTCATCGTGCGTATATACCCATTTCTCTGTGAAAAATACCGTGAAAACGCACGCCCTGGAGACGCTATCGCTCCAGGAGGCGAGCGAGGATATCGAAGATTATGGGATTCCGTTTAAGCAGTTGAAATCAAATTTGAGACTCAACATTACTGGGCTCTGAGTAATAATAATGTCAATCAATCAAAGCTTTCTACTCTACGATTCATCCGTCGGCTGACCAATGGCCCAATAATTTATCAAGTGATTCAAATAAATTTCGCTGTTTTACCTCTACTCTCATCTTTCGTCTGCCTTAAATTCATCTTGATATTAATTGTTATTTTATTTATTTAATTCATTATTAATATTACCTTATTATTACCATTATATTTTATTTATTCAGGGAATAAAAAGATAGCAGTGTACCTTCCACGTGATTTACACCTCTAATTATCTAAGGATTGACCAAGCATTCCGGGGATAATGTGGAAAATAAATAATTCAACGAGAACAATAAGTTCATTCATTAGAATTAAAAGCCATTGTACATACCCATAAGCTGCTAGCGTTGGGTCATAGGGATAGTACCCAGTGGCTGCTGGTTGAAGTGCAGCAGTTCCCCACGCTGCCCCCATGTCCGCTGTCATCCCCATTCCCGTGGCATCCTTCAAACCATAAGGATTTCCCTGAAAAAAATAAGAATAAAAAAATCCACCAAGATTAATCCACACGTTGACTTGAACGAGTTGAAAGTCGGAGGACAGAGGGGACCCACTAATACCCCAGTGGACTAATGGTATTCACACAATGGGATATTATTAGTCGGTCAGGTCTGAGTTTCTGGCGCCAGTGCGTTTCGTATTTCACCTCCCGCTTACGTCGTCGCTCTAATTCCTTAATTCCCATTCCCCAGGTCCTTATTTTTATTTAACAACCACTCTCGCCCTTCCGGGTGCTTTAATTCCACCATAAGAGGAATTTCACGTTGCGGTGAAAACGGCAGATGGATCTCCTAGAGGAGATCTCAACCCAGAGGACCACTCGTCGCCTTTTTACGACGTCAAACAACGGGTGGTCCCCATCGGGGATATGAACCTCGTCCTCAGGGCTCCACCAGTGTCACGACGCGGTCTTCTCCTCCCCTCGCATAAATACATTCAGATCACATAAAAAAACGACAAAAGAAAAAAAATAAATGAGTGGATGTTCGTTTAGTCGTGCCAACTGATATTGTCAATGGTTCTACGATAATTGAATTAACTCGGGAGATGCGATAACGCGGGTGATGAAGCCGTAGTCTCTAGGGCAAGTATGCGAGTTGCGTCAAAGTTTATGAAAGAGGTGAGTACGATAGTTGGAGGAGGATGGAAACAATGGGGATTGGCCAGTGGAGGGACGAGGATGAGAGGATAGAGAGGATTGGGTGGATTGGGTGGATTGAGAGGATGAAAACGATGAGGATGAGAGGTGGAGAGAAGAATAAAGAGGGAGATGGAAAAAAAGGTATCCCGACTCGTGGACCACCGTGTGCGTTCCTGTTTGTATATAAGGACTTCTGCTTCCACTCGTGCTTATTGCCCTTATTGCCGTCGCACCGCCCATTTCATTCAATGCTAATCCAGCTCTTATTACATTCTTATAACGCTTTCGTTGAAAACGATGGGTTCAACTGCGTGGGACCCCTACCTTCTTTTCTACTTATTCGGAATTTCCAGTCGCATTTCCAGCACGTGCTGTTCCCCTCCTCATGACCAACCGAACAATTGGGGAAAAAAGGTTATCACCGGAATGACATTATGGTTTTAAAAAATGGGATGAATAAGTGACGGGAGAATGAGTGCAGTCGAAATAATGAATTAATGAGTCTTCGTGCTTGATGAAAAAAAAAAAAAAATTCAGCAATACCGACTCAATTCTCTTGGGCTTTATAATCGTCTCGCGTGCGGGACGGACATGGCCGATGGCAAAAAAAAAAAACCTGCACACGTGATGCTAAATAACGGACGATGCTAACTACCTCCGAGTATGTACTTGAATTATCGTATGGAACGGAGGACTGAGCGAGCTTCGCGTTCACATGTGATAAGAATCAATGGAATAAAAATATTGAAGAAGAGGGAAAAAAAAAATGGGGAAAAAGTTGAAACGCTCTGCGAGGACAGCACGCGCTCGAGGTACGTGTCGAGTGGCATTTCGATTTTCATTGTCGATAAATGTCGGGGATGTCGTGTATTACCGGGAAAATGCGGTGGGATTGGCTCTTAGCGACGATGGTTCACACGTTTTTTTTAATTAGACTAGTTATTACAACCGAGAAATACTATTTCCAGATCCCAGGGACCGCAGCTCATGATTCGGTTGTTTGTTTATTAAAAAATTCAAACTAGATAAATTATTATTTACTATTCTCGGATTAGATAAATTGTTCCGTTGGTTGGATTGAAGAGGAATTTTTTTGAATGAGGTAAATATTGATTTAATTATGCAATCAATTGAGGGTTAGGACAGGAAAGAGGTGTCCATTGGAGCAGGACCAATCCATTGGGTGAGATTCCCTCTAGGTTGAATTTCGCATACCCTTCTGCCTCATCCTGGGCCAATGGCAATGGATTTTCATCCACCTCCGGTTCTCACCTCGTCCAATGCCCCCCGAATCGATTCCATAAACTCATCTAGCCCCATGAGAAAACAATACTCAACGCAGTCGACGTAGACTTTGAGGATTTTCCATTCTCATGGGAATTTAATAATGTGGGAATAACCTGAGATTTTCTTATCGAGATACATCATGTTTGCTACTAACGAAACAATTGATATGTATTTCAAAATGACACGTCAAAAGCAAAACACTGGTATTACCGCATCGTTGAGGTAACGTGCATCAGTAAATGCTTAGAAATAATATCGAAAAATTGTAGTGAGATAATTACAACCGATAACGGTTAAATATCGTCCACAACATTGATGACAATATCGCCTGAAATACTTGTTTTGAAGGTGTCCCATTTAATTTTCAACAATTTTCATACTAGGAGTTGTATAATTATCACCTAGCCAATTTTCTCCCCCCATTTCTTTCCACTATCATCTGAAAATTACTCGAAATTACGCAACAGCTTTATCAATTTCAGTTAAAGCAAACAAACGAAAATAGGTAAATCAAAATTGGCGTAGCCGATGATAATCAGCAGAGTGGTGATAAAAAAAAGAAGGCCCCCCCCTCCCAACCCTGAAGAAATGAAAATTTTTATCGGAGAATTCAGAGATACCGATCTTATTATTACACCGGCAGACATCAAAAGATATCCCCACGGAATGGAGGCGCGAGAGACACGTCGCGTTCCCTCTCTACCGTGGTAGCAAATAAATCTGTTAAAAGAGCTCGACGCAGGGGAATTATTAAATTTTTAGTTAAGAAAAACATTGGAATTCAGAGGAATCACGGTATCCCGCTGGGATAAATTAATCGACAACGCCTAAAAGCAACCAATTAGTATAATTATGCCGATGAATTCAAATTTAATTGGCTCCTGGAGTTCTCTCGCCACTCTTTCACGGCAATCGTATGGTCTTTCGTTTCCCACAACATGCACCAGGCGGTTAAAAATGAGAATGAGAAAAGGAAAAGCCATGGAATTTTAGCAATTGATGGAAACTTACTAGAGGCGAATAGAATGCCGAGCTGTCCATTCCGATGCTGGGATAGGGTCCCTGATCCGTGGCTGATGGTGTGGGCGTGGGATACGACGAGTAGGAAGTGGCAGTCGGTGCTAATCGTGGATAGGCACCCAGGGCAAGTCTAGCAGTGTCATACTGACACGAGCACACAGTCTGACCAGTTACAGGATCTGTCATCATTGGTCTACCATTCTCACAACATCCGGATCCACCAACGGGGGTTGTTGCACCCCCCGATGTACCCGGTGCTGCTCCCGTCGTTGTTGTTGCCGTTGATGATGGTGACAGTGCACCAGGACTCAGTGCACCAACTGACGACATTGCTGGTGATGTCGCGGTTGTTGGCTGCCCTCCACTCACCAACAGCTGTAACACAGTACAATTTATTTAATATATTTTTCAGCAGCGTCACTGCCACTTGTAGATGTCTATCAGAATTTCATAATGCGTGAGATTTTCATCGATAGTGTCTACAGATGTATGCACTTTGGGTTTAACACTACACAGGACTTGGGACACCGTATATTTACACGAGAGGGTATAGATTGATGGAAGGGTGGGCCACCCTTCATCCATCCCCTGTAGGACAGTTGGATATCCCGAGCTGAGAGAAGGACCTCTTTTATTCATGCGTATTCTCATTGCCACCCAAAACTTTGTCCCTCTTTTCCCTCCAAGTGTCAGCTCTGACTTGGCCAAGCCACGAATTAACTCCCCCGTTATAAATTTATGGAAAACAATCCTCTCGCTTTCTTGCCCACTTTCCGAAAAACCCCTGGGCAACAGCCCATGGATAATCCGAATTCATTGCCCCTGTACACGTCACTAGTCTGGGTTTCCAATTGGAAACTGATATAGACATGTTTCTGAGGCATTGGTAATTTATAAAAACAGAGAGACTTGCTGCTATGAGAAATAAACGAGTCATTGCTAATTTTAAACAATGATATGCAACCAGTGAACGAGTCACCTGATGAATACACGACATCTTTTGTTGGTGATAAATTGGTAAATCGTCCTCCAGGAGGGTTGGATCCAAACAAAGGCACTAATTATTTTTATCCACAACTCAAGCTTTAATTGGTTCCTCAGTGTTATTAGAGAATCTCAATTTAAAAATGTGAGAAAAATGCGTGGTTGGGTCTTCTCAGTTAGGATCTATTTGAGGCGTTAAAAAGAGTCAGTTTAAGTGTTATAAAGTCGAGACGACTTGAGAGGAGAATGCACACCATCCCCGAGACAGATGGTATTTTTATTCTTACGACCCACTAAAAAAAACGGAGAAGTGTCAAAACCCTTCGTATTTTCTCCAACCGATGGATTCATTTTACTACAATGTCAAGAGCATGCAATAAACCGACAATTGGGTACGACTGATCTACTGCGCATGTGGGACAGACAGATCGAGAGGGCGCCACAGGTATTTCCAGGGAAACCACTGGTAATACGAGCCCTCGGTGAAACCTGCAGGGCAGGTTTTGTTTTCTGGGTTGTAAGTCCAGATTTCGGCAACACACATGTTATATCATATATATTAAATCCCCAGGGCCTCAATTCGCTCATCGAGCGATTTTTCTCATCGTCTGTAACCAGAGAATGCCCCGGTCTTCCGTATTGACCGATTCCCACTGACCCCCCAGCCTCCCCAGCCTCCCCAGCCTCCCCAGCCTCCCCTGAACCCTCGATAAAGATTTTCCCTCATCGCCAGCCTATAATACCGATTAAACAACAAATTCAGTTGTACAACAGATTGAAAAAAAAAAATAAATAAACAAGTTTTTTTCTTCCGCGATGTTAATTTATCACCGGTACCGTCTCGCTCATGATAAATCCGCTTAATTAACCCGCGAACATATAATGATTACATATGGTTACACATATCAGGTATGGAACCAATGAGAATATGAAAAATAAGGAGCGAGAGAGGCTGTGCCATTTGCAAAAGCTCGCACGACATGCCGCACGTCACTTGCCGAACCAATAATGCAATTTGTGTCTCGCATACTGTGTTACATCGGTACACACATGTTATACGGATTGCATCGCTGTTTCTCCGTCGCCCAAGTTGGCAGGGCTTTCAATTTACCACAGATTACGCACCTGCAGTACCTATTCTATTCACTCTTTACTTTAATCCCTACTCTCCTCCTTTTTTACTTCGCAGCATCAATTGCGGTATACACCAATGCGCATGTCCTCAATCTCTCTTTAGAGTGGTGGAATTTACTTTAGTCTGAAGCCCAAACTGCCTCACCCTAAAGTGGAGTTGAACTCTTGTACCGATAACTTTTGGCAAACCGGAAGAGGACCGGAGAGGGCATCCCCGTGCATATAAACTTGGTGTAAAAGCTTTTACCAAGTATAAGAGCAAACATCCACCGGTGAAAGTTTCACCGGATCCTCGAGAAGGATTAGGCACATAATGTAATGAAGTAAACAGGTACAGGTTGATGATTGTGAGGAGGAAAAATAGGGTGTCGAATTATTCACGGGAAATTTATTCGGCGTAATTATTTTATTACCATTCATTTTTTAGAGGGAATTTGCGATGTGGTGCGAGAGAGCTCGAGCGTATCAAGGATTCCGAAAGATCCACACGCCTTTCCAAATGAAGTTACGAGGTATTCTGGCTGGTGTCTCAGCCGTGAGAATATCCCGCTGGGTCGCAGGCAAAGATCACCAGGACGCCGATTAATCGTTCTCACCGGCAAACGTATCAGACATTTTGGTATTCTACGCGCGCGCGCATGGAAAACACAATCAACGCCCCATTCGCCAGTCTACATATATATGTATTTTTTTTTTAATTCCCCCAATTCTTGAAGAAGAAGAAAGAAGAAGAAGAAAAAAAGATCGACGGTATATTTTTAATTGAGAGGAAGAAAGCCGTGCGTCGCGTAATGAGAATTGATTGGGCAATATCTCCGCACCAATGCATACGTACATTGTATTAATTTGATTGTTACTATCGATAACCCTATTTACTTTGTATATTTTTTCTCATTACAATTCACGGGAGTGCGTTCATAAATCCTATTGTCGATTGCTTTGTGGAACGGGGGGAGGAGCGATGTGAGAGAGAGAGAGATAATTTATTCTGTTTGAAATATATTTATAGAGAAGACTGGTGGACATTCTAATGCATGAGCATTGGTGATGTTTCACATGGAACGTGAGGAGTTCAGAAGCGACGGCCGTCGGTGAGATTTGAGAGCTGGGGGGCAGGTGATACACACACGTCCATCTTTTCACTCGGAAATTTTGAGACAGGTAGCCTTGTGACCCCTCTTCAAGAATTACTATTCACCGGCTTTTATTGTACACATCTGACTCGCTGACACAATTTTAAATCGAGAGTATTCAATTTTTATTTAATGTTTATTCAATTTTTATTCAATTTCTGGTAATTCAATACTGTAATTTAATTTCAATTTCGATTGTGTCAGGTTGGAATGAGACCCAATGCATCTCAGAATCGTGACAACTCCATTATTGATTTGCGCAACATCTAGAATTGTTAAATCAAAGGGTTGATATAATGGTAGAAAGGGTCTTACCTGTGAGGCCGACGGATACGAGTATCCGAATTGGGCGTAAGCAGACATTATGTACCTCGTCTCGAATTTAATGAAATAAAAAATAAAGCACAATCTCACCAGCACTCACAGTACACTAACACCAGTCCCTGAGAGCCCTGCGCCCTAATTTCAATTCCAATAAAATGATATAGTCATCGATCTACTGTCATCATGTCCTCCCATCGCATTTCCCCCTTGACTTCATGCTGATAATCACTCTTTACCTAAAGATAATTCGCTATTCGATCAGCACAATTACCTCACGCCGTATAATCGCACAAACGTTCGTCTATTACATCTGATAATAACCGGGTAATTCCAGCGTAGTTGTTATTCAATTGAGTCCTCGTTAGCTCGATGATACACTCATTATTAATCTGCTACCACCGATTGTATAACAGGCACTTGCATACGACACACGCGGATCGAATTTAAGCTAGTGACATAAAGATGGTTCACGGGGATTAGCGTTATAGAGATTTTCATACGGATTTTTAAAAAAAAAACAGAACAGGGTCCGTCCCCTGCTTTCACAGGGCTCTCCAGTCTACGACTGACTCGACTCCACTCACACCACTTCATGGGCTTCCACTCCGATCGGTTGCTCTCAGGTCGAATCCCCATCTGGTGAGAAACCATCGAACCAACACCCCCCACTCCTCGACATGGGCGGTAACCCAATCACCCTGACCAATGGTAGATTATTCTCTGTCGCACTCAATCCGCCCACCGGGTGATTTTCCATTTGGCCATTGGCTCGATACCTCGTTGGTGGGCGTGGAATTGAGGAGCGGCCACGACCACCCATTCGGCCACGCCTACCACCCATTCAGGAGTGGAAAACACCGTGAAACGAGTCACCTCTCCTTTTTTTTTTACTTTCTCCATTCTTTAATGCCATCTCACTCACACCCCTGTAACACCCTCAACCCCCCGGGGTTGTACCGTGGTACGGCCAACTGAGAACAACGAGGAACGAGTGTGTTTACGCGACTCGACTCTTGTCAACTCCGTTGGCACGGGACTTAAATAAATCTGGCGTTTTCTTTCCCCTCTCTGTCCACCCCACCAGTCCTTCCACCACCCCACTTCCACCCACCACCTCTTTCACGTTTTATCGTTATATTTTACACCAACATTGTTGGGACATTGACTCTTTTATTTGGGTTTCCTTCTTTTTTCCCCTCAAGATATTCTGTCTATTTTTTCACCGGTTGTTTTATGTGGAATAAGATTGTACAGATTGGGATACTGAGAGGATGTTGTTTCGAGATAAGGTGGATTTAATTGATGGCTCTGACAAATTGTAAAGTTTTTTTTTTCTTCTCGGTTATGCTGATTTTTTGGGATTTATTGTCCGCGAATGTTTCGCGGCCTGTGGTTTAACTGGATGACTTATGTTTTGGAGTAATAGAACATCAATTTTCTCCGTGGAACTCTGTTTACTCTCGATTTAATTACCGTTCCCCTCTCTCTCTGTACCAACGACAGTTTCGGCGAGATAATTGTCATTTGAGCCCGGAAGGATTAAGGGTTGGTGTGGGTTCAGGAGTATTTGGAATAATTTCACGGACTATTAGTCCATTACTTCTGAGTTTAGGGTTAGGGGTATTTGGGTGGCTGAGTGGGGGATGAGTTCGTTTGGGGAGAAGATTTCATCCCCGTGTTTAAAAAATCCTCGGGGTAGAGGAGAATTGGAATATCCTTGAAACAAATGATTCGTAAGAATTTCAGGAGGCGACAGTCGACGCAACAGTAAAAAAAAAAAATCCGCGCGAGACTAATAGGATTAGCTGAGACAGACCGAGAAAAAGGTAGGGATGTAAGAGGGCCAGAGATAAGGAATCCCTCTTGGGGATAATGTTCTTTACCTGGGTCCCAGTCCAGGGGTGATTTACCATCCTCTGCGTAAACCCGGTGAACCTGTCGATCACGCCCCCAAACATCCGACGACATAATATTCTTGTTTGTTAAAATAGTATACTACATTTTCAACCTGCACCGAGTCACGAGTTATCTTAATCCCAATACTTTACCATTCGCCCCTTCCACGTCTTTACGCTGAAAGGAATGGAAAAAAATTTTGAAAATTCTAAAAAACCGGAGAACAATCGCGGAAGAACTCAGAAAAATGTACGCACCAAAATGTGAAATTTGACGGTGATAAAAAGCTTTTCAGCCATTTCCATCGCAAGGATATCCGCAAAATGTCACACAAAAAGAATTTGATAAATGGCCATGACTGCCCGACGAGTCGGAATTTTTGGGATAACTACAAACGGTTGAATAAATTTACGTGAATAATTTCACAAACATCTGTATTTCTGATTCTAACAACCCAACATTCTTCTAATGTTATTTAACATCGCTCTATCTCTCGACTTGAATCCCACGAGCCGACGAAGACTGAATGGTCAAGTCCCACCTGACTAATAAAAAAATTATTCAGCCTATCAACCGAACGATTCTTCCTCCTCATTCCTCATCCGATAACAATAATCTTGAACAAACGAAAACATGAAGTCCACAGCCTTATCACCGATTTGTTCTTTAATTTGTTCCTTAATTTCCAACTAAATTCATCTCTCCCAAAATAAAATCGTTATAATAAAAATAAATCCTCACAGGTAAATCCACTATACTTAAAAAATCTGAGACTCAAGATTGAGTCTCAGATGGAGACTTTAAAACGTCTTAAATGACTTCCGTAAGACGTCTTAATCCAGACCTTCGAAATGGCGAAATAATAGTTTATTTCATAGAATAGTTAGTAGGGGTTATGACTCATCAGACTAAACTCAAAATGTCCCATGAGTACGTATAGCTCGGTAACCGGGCATAATCTATATGGGCATGAATAATCCAAACTGGACATCCAGAAACTACAGTTTGAGAGAGACGGTGATAGCGTGACCGCGGCGTTATTGCTACGACAAAATGCCGTAGCTCCGTTATATTGCACTCTCTATGATTAATCGCCACAAGCGAAATAGCCGTCGAGCGTTTCGGTCTCGTTACCGTCGCACCGACCAGACATTATCGTGCGACATACTGGATATACACGAAACATAGAAAGTAACCGAGGGGTTACAGTATATGCACTGGTAATAACCTAACTGCGCGCATGTGTCACCCTCTAAAAGAGAGAAAAAAGATGGAAGCGGTAGCTTTGACAAACCGCCTAGGAATTTTGGTATTTCCACGATCGACACGAAAGCCCGATGAAGCCCCTCATTATTCTCATCAGCAATTGTCCGAAGAGGAAGAAAAATTGAGATTTTAAAAATTCTTTGATAAAAATTCCGGTGAACAAAAGTCGCGAGGCAAATGACTTTTCATGATGAAAAATAAAGAACAGATCTCTTTGCGTGTCTTGCGCGTTGTCAAGGCCATTTATTCTCCGTTTTATCCTCGGAGAAAAATTAATAACAATGTGACAACGACAATTGCTCGAAACCCTTGAGCTAGAGTACATAAATCCCTGGTGATTTATCTCGAACTCATGGTCTTTAAAATCCGGGTATGTATTCAGATTGAAAGGTTAAATGTTTACAAGCTATCTAGGGGGGGGATAAGTCAGTGCTGATAATAAGAACAAACGTATAAACCCCCTCGATGCTTCTCTGTGGGTTTATCTAAGCCGTACGTCGACAGTTTATTTGTGGTGCGGTTGGGAAAGTTAAATGGTCGCATCCGGTGTTTCGGTTCATTCAGAAGTCCAGAGGCTGGACCCCTTACCTGTGGTCAAGTAAGAGAATTCCAGTGCCAAAGAAGGGGACCAGGTGATGAAGAGGGGGAAAAAGGACCTTTCGTTATCTACACGAGTCGTCAAAAAAGATAGTGCCTTCTATTCCTAACGAGCTGATCATTTCAATGGTTGAAAGACATTCTTTTTTTTTTTATTTTCGATGAGGACCAAGAGAGAGCATGGAAGGATAAATCCCTTTTATTCTCGAGTTTCGTTGCTATTCCGCCGATGAAGAGGATTTTATGATCGGCAGGATCCTAAATACTTGAATGGTGGATGTCCGTTGGTGGTATATGGTCGTTTATATAAAGCCGCTTCTAATCTCAGCAGTAAAACAGAACCGTGTTCACACCCAAGTCAAGAGGTAGAACAAAAGTCTCCAAAGTTATGTGCCTGCTAATAAGAGTGAAAACTGGTGAGGAGTAAATGCTGACGAGTGGGCGAAAATGTTTTTTGTGTACGTTGGGTGAAAAATTGAGATGAGAGAAAAAAAAAAAGAGAGATGGCTCATAAGGGTGGAGTATCCAGACTGGCGCCTCCAGGCCCATGACTGAATTTTATTGGTGCACACTGTTCAACCCCCCTACATCCCCTCATCCCCCTCATCACCCCCACCCTTAACCTTTTACCTGTCCAAATGTACCCACACTCTGTTGAACCTAATACACACTAGCGGCTATGGCCGACCAGTATGTCGCCATAAAAAAGCCGCCACCCCACATTCACCCCGTCTATGTCTCCATCTTTTTTTTTTTTTTTCATTTTTCACCTCTCGCTCACTCCTTGCTTGATTCTCTCGAATCTCTGCGCTATCTCTTTCTATTGCCGTCTCCTCGCAGAAACCCAACGACCAACGAAATGTCAACCGTAAACCTCGCGAGGCAACACTAATTAACCCGACCGAAATAAACTGCGTTGGTGATGCTGGACTCCCTCGTTGTTTTCTTTCTCTTATTTATTCTCGTTTTTATTTCAGTGTCTATCTTTCTTTTTCATTCATTCTTTCCGGAGTATCGGGCAGTCCGCGACGGAGATTGGGAAGGGAATTTGTACTGAAGAGAGGCAGGAATAGACGAGTGGATCGAGATCGCAGGAATTTTCAACGGTTTTATGAATGGGTGAGTTGGAATCCGGATATTCAATATTTATGTATACGTATGTATTAGGAGTTTTGGAAACATGGAGTTGATGAGGAAATTTGAAGATTGATTCTGGTAAATTGTCACATCGACTTCAATCCTGCCAGCCAATTTTTTTGTTTATTTCGCGTTGGAAAATCTGCGAGTTATAGCTCTTTATTATTTACCCGCATTAAAAAAAATTGTAATCGGAATATTTTTTCCGAATTTTCGAAAAATTTCTGGGAAATCTTTCACTAAATTTTTCTTTTGAAACAAAAAAAAATCGGAAAATAAAATAATTGTATTTTTGAGAAATTTTTTAAATAATGAGAAATGTTTTTTAAAAATTCTCTAGAAATTTTTGCGAATATAATTTTTTTTTTAATTTATACTGTTGTTCTCTTACTTTTTCAATTTTTCAATATTCTCAAAAAATACACCATCTAAATTATAAAAACCTTTTCCAATTCAAATTTTTGAAAAATTCTTCAAAACCCCTTCCAAAAATAAAATTATTTTTTCTTCCAATTTTTTTTTGTTTCATAAAAAAAAATTCTATAAATTTTTTGAAAATTTGGAAAAAATATTCCGATTACAATTTTTTTTACCCGGGGTAGTACATGTGTGTCAGTCTTTTATGGTCGAAGGAGAGCGATGGCGAGTGGAATTGA